CCATCTTATATATACCAGACTACCCCCAATCTAGTAAATGCTAGGGCATTCACGAAGGAACAGGATATTTCTAGAAAGCAGGTAACGTACACTAGTCACTAGTGTCACGTAACCTCGCTGACGCAACAATGGTTTTTCTTCCAAAAATCAAAACCTTTTGTATTGTCACGAAAATAATTATTTTTTAAATGTCGAGATAAGTGTGTATTTTAATGTAGCAGTAATGTTTCATTTCAGATGGCCTAAAAAACTGTGAAAAACAATAACATTTAAACACTTAAGAGTCCAATGAAAACTATATATCTTTACCTAAACCATGGTTAAGAATAGTCTAGCTACTATAGTTTCTCTGTTGATAAAGTGTGATAGATGCCAGGTGAGTGTTTTGTTTATAAAGTGTACTTTTAGGGAAGCTAGTAGCCAGAATGTACGATTTATTTAGAGGGTGTGCAGGGTAGAGGGTCCTGTAGCCATTGCTACTAGCACCGTTACTATCTCTCTAGCTTTATCAGTTATATCCTGTACCCATTGCTACTAGCACCGTTAACTATCTCTCTGGCATTATCAGTTATATCCTGTACCCATTGCTACTAGTATCGTTAACTATCTCTCTGGCTCTATCAGTTATATCCTGTAGCCATTGCTACTAGCACCGTTAACTATCTCTTTGGCTTTATCAGTTATATCCTGTAGCCATTGCTACTAGTATCGTTAACTATCTCTCTGGCTTTATCAGTTATATCCTGTACCCATTGCTACTAGCAGCGTTAACTATCTCTCTGGTTCTATCATTTATGTCCTGTAATCCTGCTCCTGGATAACATAAGAGTATTATTTTACCCTATATAACTAGAGTCACCTACAACTATAACTTCCCTATCCTTTACACTATCATCCCTTGTGAACCCATCTGTTTCCCTTACCTGCTCCTCTCATCACTAGCAAGTGCTTGGAACCCGTTGCTTAACCTAAACTCAAGCCCATCCTTGCCTCTAAATGAATTATTTTCCAAGCTGTTAGCCCTATTTCTTTTCTCATCTCCCTTGAAATCCTGTTTACCAACTGTGTATGTTGAAGTTTAAGTTCTTCACTAAGCCTCGCCACTAATTCAAGTAATTTACATTTCTCCCTTTTCCACCTCTGCAATTCTACCCAAAAAACCGTCCAACTTCTTCTGGTTCTATCAGTTATAGAGATAGTTAAGGGTGCTAGTACCAATGGGTACAGGATATAACTGATAGAACCAGAGAGATAGTTAATGATGTCAGTAGCAATGGTTACAGGATATAACTGATAGAACGAGAGAGATATTTAAGGGTGCTAGTAGCAGTGCAGTTTTGTGGTACATGTTGGGGCTAATGATGTAAGGAAAGATGGATCTGAGGAGCTTATTGATAAGTATAAAACATTGATAAGGGCATTTAAGGAAAGGGGCCATAGCTTGATTTTGTCAGGGATATTGTCAAAAATGAATTGGGAGGATGAGATACTAAGTAGGTCATTAGGATTGAATGCCAGGCTTAGATCAATATGTAGGGATGAACAAATATGCTGGTTGGATTTGTGGGAAAGTTAATGTGTTTGGAATGGATGGTTTACACTTAAACAAGGCAGGGGCTAGCATGTTAGCAAGCGCTATTAACTCAGCTGTAGTGGTAGATTTAAACTAGGGCTAGAAAAAGGTGATGGCTATGATATTATTAAAATAGGAAATATAATTGATAAGAAAACATATTCAACAGATATAAAACATGAATGTATTTTAAAATCTGTGACCATACTTCTTTGTTCTCCTGAAGAAGAATAGTCAACTATTCGAAAGTGCTCGAGTTTTGGGTCTTATTTTAAGTCTGTTACACTTTATATGTGATACTTTGTGCTAACTCTTTTATCAAAATTAAAATCTATGATTAATTGTTACTATTGTAATGCTAGGAGTATTAGAAATAAAATTGATAAGCTCAAATTAAATCTGTAGATGTGAGGGAAATGTTATTAAATTGGATAGAAAATTGACTGGAGAGTAGAAAACAGAGAGTAGTAATAAATTAAGTTAGATGTGACTGAATCACAGTTACAAGTGGTGTATCTCTTTTTGTGATTTATATTAATGATATTGACTCTGGAATGACTAACAAAATTTAGAAGTTTGCAGATAAAATTAAGGTTTTGGGGTGGATAACTGTTTCAGAAATGCTACAGACTTACAGGGAGATTTAGATCATTTGATACATTGAGCCAGTATGTGGCAGATGATGTTTAACTAGCCAAAATGTAAAGTGATGCATGTAGGTTTTCACAATTCAAATTGTTGTTACAATTTAAAAGGGCTAATAGGATTTTGTGTAGCATCTATAGAAATATTGAATACAAGACCTTGTAAGGCTTCATTTAGAGTACTGTGTACAGTTTTGTGCTCCCTTTCTCAAGAAAGACATTGAATTGTTAGAGAAGGTTCAGAGAAGAGCCACTAGGATGATACCTGTGATGGTGGAATTGTCCTGTGAGGAGAAACTAAAATCTCAACTTCTCTGGAGAAGAGAAAGGTCAGAGGGGATTTGACTGAAGTGTATAAGATTATTAAAGGTATTGATAATATAGATCCATCAGACTTTTTTGTGTTTAGCAATGAAAACAAATTTTGGCAGTGTATGAGTCATCTGCAGTTTAAACAGTATTAGTTTTCAAACAGGGTGGTTGGCTTTTGGAATGGTGGAGGAAGAAAATTTAACTGAGTTAAAGAAAAGATTGGATGAATACATGAGTAGTAAGGGGTGGTAATAGTTGGGAGCTAGAAGGGATATCCTTGATGGGCTAATACACTAAATTTAAAATTTTATGAAATTTATGAAATAAAAAAATAAAACCTCAAAACCAGTTCTTATCATTCATATAGTTATCAAGCTTTTTCTTAAACTCACTTAAATTTACTGCCTCCACAACATACGAAGGCAACTCATTCCAAAGGCCAACCACCCTGTTAGTTGAAGATGACTCCTACCCTTACAAGATTTATATAAGTGTCCCCTAGTCCTACCATTCTCACCATTAAGTATGAAAAAAAATGATGCACTAACACTATCAATTCCCTTAACAATCTTAAACACCTCAATGAGATCTTCTCTAACTCTTCTTTTTTCAAGAGAAAACAATTTTAGAGATCTCAATCTCTCCTCATATGACAACCCACCCATCCATCCCAGGCACCATTCTAGTGGCCCTCCTCTGAACCCTTTCCAACAATTCAGTGTCCTTCCTAAGGTAAGGAGCCCAAGGTTGTACACAGTATTCCAAATGTGGCCTAACCAGTGACTTATGCAATCAAATCATAACCTCTTTAGACTTGTATTCAATATTTCTGTAGATACAACCTAAAATCTTATTTGCCCTACCACAAGCAACAACACACCACTTGGATGTTTTAAGAGACTAATCAACCACTACATGAAGATCCCTTTCTTTCATAACACTGTCAAGGTTATTCCCATCTAAATTATACTTATAATTCAAATTATTATAACCCACATGCATTAACTTGCATCTATATATATATATATAAAATACAAAAGTCTGTGTGTCTGTCTGTTTGTCCCTTATCTAACTACTCCTAGGTCGCTTGGCCAATCTCAACTTAACCTTGAGGAATAATAGTTTGGAACAAGGGGCATGTTAATGGGAGGGTTAACAACCCTCTTTGCCCCATTATTGCTGTTATTGAGCACTTAGTATTGTTCACATAAGTTAACATTAACTACATACATAGATGGCACCATGTTCTTACACAAAAGAAATAATTATATTTTCTATAATGCAACATATACACAGTGGGGGGGGGGCACACAAGCATCTTGTATATCTCGGAGAGTGTGCTAGCAATAAAAAAAAAAAGGCCACCACTATTTCAATAATACATAAACTCAGCTGAAGTTCTACTCCGTCATAAGGCTGATATGAAGAGCCATGTATTGGGTTATACTCACTTCCTACTTTGACCTGTGTGACATTTCAACTTTGGCCCGAAAGACACTTATGTGGCCAGTGATCATCAATTAATTAATCCTGTGAAACACTGTGGAAAGACATTAAGAGTTGGTGTTGAAAGCAGGTAACAGAAAGCACACCTACCACCACCACTTTGGCCACTACCTCTTAATACAAAGTCACCCTGACCATCGCACGGTGTATATCATGTTTTAAATATATACATATTGATAATAATGGTTGGAGACGGCTTGAATGGGACTGAAGAAAACTTTAATATAAGTTTAACATAACAGCATGATGACAAAACCTTGTCGAAACGTTGTACATTTGCTGTTATGTTAAACTTATATTAAAGTTTTCTTCAGTCCCATT